TTTTCAATTTGCAAGAGCACTAAAAAAGGACCAGTGTGGATTTGAAAGTCCCAATAGGCTTATAATTCAAACTAAAATGCTAATGAGCCATGTGGCCTAATTATGCTTGAGGATAATTCTCTTCTGCAAAAATCATGTTAACATAACTTGCAAATATATGTATGCACCGTCTGCCTTCCTTTGGAAACTTGCACATTTCCTGCACTACAACATGCTGCAAAAATTGTTTTGTGGTGGCCATATTTATAAAACTATACTTATTGACTGGCTGAATGGCCTACTCTTGTTCCTATGCAGTGACTGGAACATAATTTTGTATGTTCGTACTCTCGTGTAAATCTTTTAATAAAATGGACTCTGTCTTTAACAGTTTGTGTACTGTGTAAATTGATCACAAAAATATTGGACACAGAGACCAAACAAACATAAACCTGAGTTGGGGATTCTAGCTGATTTGTTTACCTCACAATTCTTCTCTACTTTGAAGCCATTTGATCCTTTTTCTCTCTGGGATATGGGTGTGATTGCATTCTAGGTCTTCACTTAAATGGCCAATCTTCATGTGTGATCCTTGGTGGAGTGTCAGTGGGGGTGGGGTGGGGGGCAGCATCACAGCCTGTCCTGATTTCCTCACCCAATGCCCACTGTGATCCACTAACAGATAATCAGTAATGGGAGCCCTACCTTTGTTTTACCCCTCATCCCGATCCCTGGAATATTTTATTGACAATTGTAGAATTCCTAATGTATAATCTGATTTTGGCTAATTCAGCACAGATCAAGAAATAAGAACCAGAATCTTGGTTTGTGATAATGGGTCCATCTATGAGAAAGAGTGAATACTTCTGATATAAAATACTTCCTTTGTCCCCCCGCCTATGTTGTTAAAACTGCCGTAGTACCTTAATAAGAATCTCGAACATGTAAGCTGACTCGGTAGAGCGGTGTAATTTCCTTTTTTGTTGGATTACAATTGCAACTAATGTCTTGCTTGAGGGCCAGTCTTGGGAATGCTACAACATGCTTTACCAGCAGTGATACAATGTGGGACCGCACCTGTGATCCCACACACAGCTCCCGATTTCAAGCCTGACACTGTGGCAAGTTGCCAAGTGGCGGTCAGGCACTTCCCCCATAGGAAGGGGGAGAATAGTTCTATTTCAGTAGAGCATTGTCATTTAAAAGAAAATACATTTTGTTTTTATAGTGTCTTATCGCCTCAAACTGAGCCAAGGAGAGATAAATCTGTTTCCTAATAGGATCCTCCATCAGAGGCCGTACTTACAGCCACTATACCCCAAAACTATGGAACTCTCTCCCTCAATCCCTCAATTCTTCGGGCATACGTTTAGTATTGTACATAAAAGTAAAAATAGATGCAAAATTCTGAAAGCGATTAGATAATGTCCTCATAAAACATGTGTATTTGATGCTGTCTAAAAATTTTAAATCAGTCTAAATTAGCCTTTTTTAGCTGAATTGTGCTTTAAAACATTGTGTTATACAGTCCTGCCCACTTTTGTCGACATTGGTGGTCACAAGCAGACGATAGGTATTCTGTCATTACAATGTCTGTAAGTGGGGTCCCCTTGGAGCTGAACTGGCCCCAAAGGATACTCTCCTCCTCCCCCCCCCCCCCCCCCCCCCCCAGCAGTCTTGATGCTTTGGGCAGGTTGGAAGCTGATTAGAGGGATGTGTCCAGGGAATGGTTGAAATGTTCATCTTACAGAGGAAAGAGCCTGTAGCTCAGTGGTTAGAGCACACACCTCGCAAGCGAGAGACCTGGATTTGATTCCCAGCAGGGCAAAACCTTGAGCAAGTTTCCTTACTCCATATGCCTGATAATAATCCCTCAAGAAAAAAAATAATAATTTGGTCACTTCAATCCACGACTGTTTGTGGGATACTGCTGTGTGCAATTAGCTACCATGTTTTGCCCACAAATATACAGTCAATAGAGCTTTGAGACATCTAGAAGATGTGAAAAGCACTATAGCAAGGATTATATCATTATATAAGAGGTAAATTGGGGGTAAGCTGAGGGCCAACTAGGTGTTCCAATACTGTGGAGAAATTATTAGAAGTTGAGATGAATGCATACTTTCAACAAAATATCTATCATCTCTAATATATCCCCCCATATAATTGAAATTGGCATTTATTTATGACAGATAGTTGGTTCTACGTTTCAACCTGCCATCGCACCACAAGCAAACCTGATAGCATTACTTTTTCCTACTTCTCCGCAAAAGGGCTGCTTTTGCCAATTATCCATTACACTTGGCTAGGAAAGGCTTGAGCTGTTTGAAGGCAGACTGAATGGGCTGATTCAGATCTAAATCGGATTCCCATGTGGGTAGAATGGAGCAGTCAGAGTTGCAGCATCATTCACCCTTCAGATGCACTATAAATGAGTATCTATTATTTCCAAGCCTTTTAAGCATTTGATTTCCTGACCAATGATCAAATCCACCTTTCCAAAAAATTCAACTTCTTGTGCACAGCTGAAGTTTCACAAACCTTTGACAGGATATTGAGGGACTTCGACCTCACAATATGACCAATTTTCTAGATGCGGCTACACTGCTTGTTATGGATTTTAGCTTCACTTTACAAAGATGACACCTTTACTTCGAATAATTAGGCCATACCCTCCACTCCAATGAGAGTAAGTAAAACTGCCTTTGTGAGGAATTGTGTCTCAATTGGCTTGATTGGCTGTCACTCAGGAACTCTGACATAGGAATCTGGAAGATCGTTGATAAACAAAAATAAATGTGACTATTGGTCAGGAAATCGTGCGCACCTCAAATGCATTTCTATAGAATCAACTTTAACAACAAAAACAGTAACTTGCATTTATATAGCGCCCTCCACGCCAGGTGGTGTCAGAGCGCTTAACAATGGTGGAGCCCGAGGCCAAGCCAGGGGGAGGGGGAAGGTGACCGTAAGCACGGTCGAAGATGAATGTCTTCAGGTGCGACTTAAAGATAGGGAAGGAGGGGGCAAGGTGAAGGGGTTGATGGAGGATTTAGTGATTGAAGAGGCCACCCTTACATAGAACCAAGAGTTGGATCTCGTATGCAATGATTTGTAACAAGCCCCAAACAGTAACTCTTGGTGGTAATTAGAAGTGTAGCACGCCAACTGGTAAACATACGTGGATGACGTCCGAATGCAGATTGGCATGATGCCCTTCTAGGTACTGCAAGAATTGTTACATATGATTGAAATATCTACACTGATGGTTGAAAAGATGGATCTTGGTTCTGTGGATTCTGAAGACGATCCATTTTTGAGTCCTTCGCACATCAGTACATGTGGTAAAATTCAAATATTCATGAAATCCTGATCTGCAGTATAACATTATGGCATTGCTAGGTATTTTTATATTAATGTACAGTCTAGTTATGTTCCAGGTGGATCACGTACCACACAATGTACTGGATGGTTGGTTTTGTATTCTAGAGTCTATAGCCAGATAATTCATATCCATATAAAATTCAAAGGGAAAGTCTTATTTAGTCTTTAGTGCTGATACTCACCTTAGTTGTTTAACCTTTTGGACAGATATTGTCATTTCCATTTTGTGGTGATAATACACTTATTCAAAATGTCCAACTCCTGTAAAATACAGGTGTAGGGAATTCTTTGCTACAGTTGTGCAACACATAAATGATGTGGAACAGAATGATGGGCAAAATAGGAAATAGGTTCTCTCGGCAGTTCAAATGTTAACGATCACTATTAACTATTAGGCAGCAGAGATTGACAAGAAAAATGTACAATAGACAATTAATTGGCTTTGAAGGAGACTGTGTACCATTTGGTTGAGTGAGAAGTGACCCAAGAGCTCACGCTAATGTACTGTTATAGGTGACTGGATCTAGCATACTCAGCTGGTTGGCCTCAGCCATCTGTTCTTATTTACAAAAAACTGTTTTACTTCAGAAGATATTTACACTTCTAGGATTCCATTTGGTTTCAACTACCAAAGGCTTCAGCAGTTGCAAATGCATTTTTTAAAAAAAAACATCAGCGCGGTAGCTTTGAATTTTAGCTTACATCATCCTTGATATTTCCGTGGATAAAAGTCTTATGGAATCTATTGGTTAGTTATTTTCTCTCTCTCACCAGACATGTTGATCTTCCCTCATGTGTGTCTTAGGAGAAACAAAATGCATAGTTGAAATTAGTCACCTGAATTCTGAGGTGGTACAGCAGAAGCTGGTAATGATAATGCTGGATAAGAGAAGTCTCAGGCGATCTTATTGAAGTTTACGAAATCCTAAAGGTTATAGATAAACGGAACCCTAAAAATAGCATAGTCAAACTATATTAACTCTTATACAATGGTGCATGGACTCATTTTCATAAAAATTATGTTTAATATGCTGTTGAATTTAAGTACATGAGTGGGCAATTCGGGAGATACTTGAGGTGGATTGTGCCAGAAAGTTAAGATGGAATTAGATAGCTATTTGAAGAAGAAATTTAAAGAGCTGTGAAAATAGCATGGATGATTTTCATTTTACCTGAACAGACAGATGAACCTCAATGGTCTTTCCAATAATGTACATTTCTGTCTTTCTACCTCCTCTCCCCATAAAGTTAAATTCAGGCTGGATCTGCAGTTTAGGAGATGAATTAGAGGTTGGGGTGGTGGAAAATTAGCTGGTGTTCCCTCTTCTGATTACTATTCAGTGACTTCTGCTGGAAATTGTAGATTCCAGGTGAGAACCAGATTCTGCGACCAGGAACAATCTTGGTCCATTTTGCTTTTATGTTTTTTTGCCCCCTTTCCCCAATCAGACTGCATTGCCTATGACATGAACATTGGACTAAAGCTTTTATTTAGAAAGTTTGTTAATTTGGTTCTTGATGTAAATAAGAATGTTTCGTTGAAAAATTGTGTTTATTTTCTTCCAAGCACATTCTTTTGCAGAGATTAAGATTTTTCTTCAGTTTGTTCTCATGTTGTTTTTTTTCACATCTTTTAGCTTTCAAATACATCAGCTGACACTCCAACAGACATGACTCAGGTTAGTGGACAGAATGCCCAGTTAGCAAGTGGAGATGAACGACAGAAGTCACTGGAGCAACAGAGAAAGCAAGAGAAGGCCAATCGCATTGTGGCTGAAGCCATTGCAAAAGCGAAAGCTCGGGGTGAGCAGAATATTCCCAAGGTGGTTGACCAGCTGGTGGTCTCCAGCACCACCACGGTGGATGGCTCAACCGAAAAGAAAAAGAAGAAGAAACCAAAGGAGAAGAAAGACCCTAAGGACCCCAAAGAAGTCAAGGAAAAAAAACCCAAGTCAACTGCAACTCCTAAAATCAAGACCAACAAGAAAGCAAGGTAGGACATTTTGATCAAGATTAGACATTTTTCTTGTTGCATTTTATATATGTTTTTTGCTTGAACATATGAAATATAACATATTTGCAGTCTAATCCTATGCAGAAGCCATTCCAACAATCTATCTTTGGGATTTCCACGTGTAGAAATCTCATGGAAATCTCATATTGGCGATGGGTTTTCACATGTGTCAGACACCTGTTTGAATCCCAAAAAACGTTTTTAAATGTTATTTGCTCTTGCTCTACACAGTAAACTTCAACTTCCATCTGATCCCCACCAAGTATTTTCTGCAAATTTGTAATAAATCACAAAGGAAATTGATATTCTTCTGTGTAGATTATCTAGTATTGCAAGCTTGTAAAAGCAATGATGCTGGAACTTTATAGAAAGACATAACATTTACATTTGATTGGAAAAAAATTAAATAATATTTAGCCCAATTGAAGTGTTCAGAATAATGCAATTTTCATAAAGTGCTCAAAATTTATTCCTTGTGTGTACTGCTGAACATATTAAAACTTTGTAGTAGATACTGGTATCCACGTGTTTGTTTTGTAATTTGGCCAATTTTTGTTGGTAACTGCAGTTTTACAGGACTATGCTTGAATTGTGCTGGAGACCCATTCCTGAAACCACTTGGAGGAAGTAGTTTCAGGAGTAGTGTGATTCGCACCAGCGAAGTGTGAGAATCACATTAGCCATGTTCTTCCATCCTCCATTCAAAGTTTTTTCACAATTCACTCATGCTGGAAACGTTGGATATATCTTTAAATGTTGGGGATAATTGAACAAAAGTTTTTTTAAACTTTTTTCTTTGGCCCTGATTTAAATCTATGCGTAGAGGAAAGTATAAATTGACTCTTCAAGCTGTACTGCCAAGAATTAAAGTGACTTTGCACTTGGCAGTATAAGTATGACATTATATGCAAGTTGCAACTTCTTGAACAAGGAATCTATAATTTTAAAGTTTTATCTTCAGTGTTTGTGTTGCAGTGCTGAAGGCAAAATTCCAGGCAAAGTTCCAAAATTCTATACTTCCTGAAGATAGTGAAACCATCAAGACTCCATTAGAAATTTACCACATCCATTATTGAACCTGAGCTAAGGGGGAAAAATACTGTAATCAAATCTTTTTGATAATTTTTTTGTGGTACTAATATATACCCATTGGTTTTAGTTGAACTTGTTCAGCCATACAACTCGAGAATGCTTCAGGAGTCTAAATCGCAGTTTAGCCTGAAAAGTGGGTTCAACACTGGTTTTATTATACACTTGGGGCAAGTTTATGGGAAACAACATTCATTTCAAATGCCAGTTGGCAGTGCTTTCTAATCATTCAGACAAAACAGTTGATCATGAAATCTTCTCTCACATGTGACTGCTGTTCAGCTAATCAGACTAGTATTTCAGTGGAAGGGTATATTTACTTTGTAAGCTGTCAGAAGTGAGCAAATAGCTTTTACAGCCCTCTACAGCGAATCAGAAGTTTACCAAGGCATATGGTGGGTAGATGTCTCATGCCTGTTACATTCCTGATCAATTTACTATATATGTGGTCATGTTGTTGAAATTCAGATCTGATAATGGCAAGACAAAGCCGAATAATGTTCATGACATTGTGCTCACTTGCCAGAAGTACAATGGACTTTTTTTTAAATTAAAAAAAGAATCCTCACCCCTCAGTAACCCACAACATTCCTTGACCAGGACGCCTTGCATATACCACTATTGAGGGTTTTTTTTTCTTGTTCCCTTCCTGTTGTGAAACTTCGAGCAGAAGGCCAAGTTGAAATTGGAATGCTCTATTTGGAATGCTGAATACAAACCAGCACTATCTGTATGTGACCTAGTGCGCTAGTGCACATACTTGCTGCTCGTATAAAGTATTTTGTAAATACTTATAATTTAACACTAATTTATAATGGGTCTGGGTTCACAGCACAAAATATCTGTGATTTGGTCATTGATCAGTGTTGAATCCAGTTTTTGTATTTACACTGAAGCTTTTATTTTTTCCCCAGGAACCAGCTCATTTGACTGCTGTCTGCCCTATTTTTTTTTTAAAAATTCACACAGCTTTTCAATATATTAAGCCTTCTCCAAGCCGAAGGGTAATATAGTTAGGGGAGTTCTCTGAACAGAAAGTATTGGAGGTGGAGGGCAGGGGGTGTGGGAGTGTGGCCAAAGGCATGGTGGAAGAGGAAGGTCTTTTGATGGGACTTGAAGGAGGCAAGGGAGGGGTGAGGTAGAAGGATTGCAGGCTAGAGTTCCAGATTGTGGAGGCAAAGATGCTGAATGCACGACCTCCAATTGTGGGTCGGGAAATGTGGGGGACCTGGAGCAGGCTGGTGATGGCACATGATTAGATGTACAGTAAAGAAGCAATTGGTCCTGCCACTGTGTTTATGAGGGCTTCAGTAAAATGTTGTTTTTGCTTTCCCCCTTTTGGGATTTTTGTTTAGGTTTTTTGTGTACTGCGATTTGAGACCTCTGTTCACTCGGTGGAGAGTGCTCCTTGAATGAGCATTTGCTGAGAATGTGGGAGAAAGCAGGGTGAGGGGAGATTATCTTTATGTGCCATTTTGTGTTTTACAACGATTGCAATTATAAATGGATAATCCTTTATAACATGTAGAAAAGTAATCACGGATGCCTACTACAGAGCCATCCTACCCATGGTCCTATACTGAAATAGTCAGTAATTTCAGTGAATTAATTACATTTTGTTTTACTTGGTGCCCTCCTAGGGGTAAATTTAGAAACTACTGTAAAGGAAATTCCAAAGGCCGGCAGGCATTCTGTAGAAATTTTCATTCAGCACCATGCAATACCTCTAACTATGCTTTGGAGCAGGTGGCTGCCTTCAGTTCTTGTCTCTTCCATTTGCACTAATGCTAGTGAAGTTTCTTGAAGGCATGCTGCATCTATTTGAAACAGATATGCAATCAGATTTTTACAATTGATTCATTTATTGGCCCCAAAAATTCTGCAACACGTAAGCCAGAACTTTCCTATAATCGGCCTTTTCTGTACTCAACAGTTTTAAGTGGATTGACTTATATAGGCTATGTAGTGAAGTGTTTTTGGTGGACAGGAGTGGGGGGAGCAAACCGCTTCCTAATATTTTGCCCTCTTGGCACTTTCTCATAAGTTCCAGCACATTTCTACTACAAATGAATGAATGCAGCAGCAGCCATAATGGCACAGTGAAGATTTGGCATTTTTGAAAGACACATTTATATTCCATTCTATATGTAATTTTAAAGTACTACAACTGAACTTTGTGTCTGTATTATGTTCCATTATTGTAATAGTGAATGGCTCAGCTTTCTTTAACTACACCTGTCTCCTGACCATAAGTGATTTAGCAGCTGGCAAAATAGCTAAAGGAATTGGACAGCTGGAGAAGCAATTCCATATATATGTACAAGCATTGGGTGTTTATTTCTGTATAGCCTGCTCATTCAATGTGATTATTAGTCACTTCATCTCTTTCACACAGATCATTCAGGCTTTAAATGTATCTTTAGAATCTACAATTTACAGAACTCCCTCCTCCACAATTGCTCCCAAAGACACTGACTGCTGCTAGGGTTGCTCAGTGGGTGCTGGTAGTTTTCTCTAGTACCTTCACAAATGGCTATTTGACCACGAAGGTCATCACAGCTGAGCCTGAACCTGTTCTCACCCGACATCTACATGTGCACTTTCCAGCAGGAGCCACTGGATAGTGATCAAGGTCACAGGTCAATTGCAGGCTGTCTGTCTAGGCTCATGCAATACCCCAGTGGTATTTTGGGGGTGGGGTTTCTGGTGGCCATGGAACTGTAGGACAGGACAAGTCAAGTTTTGCTGAAGAGTGAAAGATTAAGAGAATAAATAAATGAATTGTCCATTTGAAAAGCACCTTTATCGTTGTGTAGCAACAGGGAGTGACCGTAATGTAGGCAAACCTTTTGGTTCATCTTTGTAAGCAACATCTCACAAATAGCAGTGAAATAAATGTCCAATTAATCTGATTTTTTTGGATGAGAGGCATAGTGACCCAGCTACTGGGGCTGCTCTTTGAAAAAGCTCCACTAGACTGCCAGATGGGACTTCTGTTTAATGTCTCATCTGGAGGCTTGTACTTCCAACAATGCAGCACTCTGTAAATGCAGTGTCAGCCTCGATTATGAGCTCAAGTCCTTGTGTGGGGCCTGAACCCACAACCTCCTGACCCAGAGGTGAGTGTGCTGCTGACCAAGCCAAACTGACACCCCATGGTTATAGGAATGCGTCCAGCAATTGACTATTGAACTCCTGTGGTTGAATAATTGATTTGATCCATTAATAAAATGGGTTCAGACAAAGTCGAGCATTATTGAGCTTGTGTTGGCTGATTGTGCTAGGCAACTGCTCTGATGCTATCCTCACTTTTGCAAGCAAGTTTTACTGGTACATTGAAGCCATTGTCTCATCAGCAATGGTTGCAGTTGTTCACATGAAGGTTTTGAAAAACATTTACAAACAATAATGCAGGATTAGCAGAATTGGGCAACAGATCTGTTTAGAAGTACCAGGAATTCCTATTGCAGCTTTTCATATGGTAATCTTCATTTTCAGCTTTTTTTTAAATGTACACATTTCTATTTGAATACATTGTCTTACTATGTAATAAAATATGAAGAAGAATTAACTGTTGGTAGATTTGAAACTAAAGCAGCAAGCTTCCTGGAGTAACTTGGTGGCGCTTCTACTTGTTCTATCATGCTTTTGATATGGTTCATATGCAGATTAGCATTTGTGGCTCATTTTCAGTAAAATGTCTTAACTGTTTTCAGACCGAAGTTGATGGTTAAGACTTAATGACATATTTGTTTTTGTGATCATAGTACTGCACTTGAAATGAAAAGTATCCTTCCTTGTTAATATGCATTTAAATTATAATGCGCCAAAGAAATTGCATTAACAAAATGCAGAATGAATGCACATGGTTTTGTGAGTATTGTTATTGG